CGGGGGACTTCTGGAGAAGCGCCGAGCAGGCCCTGCGCCGCCGCAATGTAAGAGGGCAACATTCGCCCTACAGATGTTCCTACTTGGAGGATCATGGGACTTAGTAACTAGGGTTATAAATAAGGTAACTATAAGTATAACCCCAATTAGGGTACTCATAACCTTACTTACTAAGTCCCATGATCCTCCAAGTAGGGCGTAATGAATAGCCATCAGAACTGATTAGAACTTACAGCCCCATTTACAGTACTTGTCCCTAAACCCTAAACCCTAAGCCCTAAACCCTAAACCCCACTGACGACGTCCCCTGGTCTTCCAAGTAGGGTCGGTAGAGTTGGTTTTTTTCGACCCGGGATGATTTAGGGGTTTAGGGTTTAGGGTTTAGGGGTTTTGGGTTTTGGGGAGTATAATGGTTCAGGGGCTTCAGGCAGTAGGGCCGGCAGTGCAGAGGGTGCTCTTAGACTCGGCGCGGAGCTTAACAGGCTTTTCTTAGCGTCATGTCAGTGTGTTGTTTGCTTATCACACGTACCTAGTAGGCTACCTGCACTGTGGGAAGGAAGACACACGAGAGTGGTTTGGCAACAAATGATGCATGTAATTTCATGCGTTCCCAAATCAGCATACTGTCAATTGGGTCGAGTAGACGAATCCCGCCGTGGGGGGAATAGCCCATCGCCCTTTCACGGACACACCTCAACATCTCAAGGGCTGGCGGGCGACAGGCCAGAACCGGCAGTACCAGACGTTGGCTGCTTGAAGAACAACGAAGAACGCAGAAGCGGCTATCCTGCCCGCCTCTGTGAGCACCCCGCACTTAACCGTGCGAGCCGCTCCACTACCCTCCATTGCTCTCATAAGCGACGTACCCAGAACTTAAGATCTCCTAAAGCTCGCCCAGTCACTGTTTTTGTCCACGTCAGCCTTTCTGCCAATCTCTCCGCCATGGGCTGCAGCGCGAGCGTTTCGGACCCGAACGACTACCTGAAGCCCCATGCTCAAGAAGGAAAGACGCTCGTGGACGGCCTGGTACTCTGGCGCCCATGATGGGGGTTTCGAGGGCTGATAAACATGGAGGAGTTCTATGAAGAGTCTTGGTATAGGGCTGTGACTTTCCGTACATTCTGACCTAGGTACTCGGAGCCCGGTGCGAACCCGTCGTTGGTTTCCCAAGTTCCGAACGAAGCCATCTTCGCCATCCCAAGACTCGACCCTCTTCCAGCCTGGAGCCTTGCATCTTAAGCCACAAGCTCCAAACTCTGGACCTTGAACCACGAAACCCCTATCTTCAAAACACGAAACTCCTAAGTTCAAAACCACAAGCTGCGGGCCTGAGCATGCCGCAAGCTGTAGCCCCGAGCTTAGATCCTGAGCGCGTGGCCCATGCAAAACGCCTTTTCAGGTAGGTCCTGGCCCCGCCCGGCCCTTTACCATCGAGCCGTGGATGACTTCCCAGAAGACGTATCCTGTTAAGATGCTGCCAATGACCGATTCGCAGAACCAGGCAGGTGCGTTTCGGGGTTTGAGGCCTTGGGTAGGTTTGACAGATTCTGCAGTTATGCAGATGGTCCTTATATAAGGATCCTACAATTTGGGGTACTATTTTGGGGTCCCCTTTTTGGAGACCCACATTTGATTCAACATAACGTGGCCTCAAGTTGCGTGGTTTGTGCAGGGCTTATCGCAGGCTCTGAACAAGCGCCAACCTTGAGTCCCTAACCCTAACTCTCCAACCCTAAACCAGGCGCGATAGGGTTTAGGGTTTAGGGTTTAGGGTTTAGGGTTTAGGGTTTAGGGTTTAGGGCATCAGTAACAGGAGAAGTAACAGTTGCAGTAGCAGTAGCAGCAGCAGTAGCAGGAGCAGGAGCAAGAGTAGGAGTAGGAGGCAGCAGCAGCAGCAGCTGCAAAAGTCCTGCGCTGTGAATCTGGACCCGGCGACCTCGGTTGACACTTTTCCACCGGGCCCTCAAAGCAAAGGCAGAGTTCTGGCTCACGAGCCAAGGGGCACAGGGCTTCAGGCTTGGGGTTTATGGTTTAGTGGTTTTAGGTTTTCTCTCCTGGTTCAGGGAGAACGGGCATGCTACCTCCACAAAATTACGTTTGTAGAAGGCATTATCCTAGTTGCAACCTTGACATCGTAAACCCTGCACTCTACAGCTTCATGTATTCTTCCTGAGCTGGCCGAACAGGTGGTCTTCTCGGTGTCCGGCAGCTGGGTCCGCACAAGGCCGTTAAGTTCATTTGCCAAAGTGTGGAAGAGAAAGCAAAGACTGTGCTTTCCATATTACAGGGCTCCTTGGTGGATACCTTCTGCTAATCCCGTTACACCCAGCTGAAAAACAAGAACCCAGGCAAGTGCCACTTCAGAGAGGACTCCCAGGTGGTGGATGCATCGGGCAACACCGTGGCTGCCCCTTGCCGTGAGATTCGGGTGCAGAGTTGCTAGAAGAGTTTCACAAGTTTCTGGGTGCAGGGTTCAGGGAGTCCAAACCCTCAACCCTAAACCCTAAACCCTAAACCCTAAACCCTAAACCCTAAACCCTAAACTGAATTAGACCCTAAATACCCTTAACTTGGGACCGTATACCCCTACGTGAGGGTACTTGGAGGGTCCTGGAAGTCTAGGGTCCTAAACCCCAAACCCTAAACCCTAAATCCTACAAGTCTAGGGTTTAGGGTTTAGGGTTTAGGGTTTAGGGTTTAGGGTCTAGGGTCCTAAGCCCTACAAATCTGGGGTCCTAAACCCCAAGTCTAGGGTCCTCAACCCGCCCATGCGCCTGAACTCTCCTTGAGCTCCAGACTGCCCGCAAACGCATCCAGGGACCCTACCCTACGCCCCACTTAGGGTTTAGGGGTTTAGGGGTTGAGGGGTTTAGGGGTTGAGGGGTTTAGGGTTTACGGGTTTTCTAGGGTCTATTAGGGTTTGTTAGGGCTTGTAAGTTTTAGGGTTTAGGGTTTATTTGGGTTTTAGGGTCTAGGGTTTATAGGTTTAGGGTTTAGGGCCCTACACTCTACACCTGCTCAGGTGTTGCGCACGGCACAGAAGACAGCTCCCGGCTCTTCGGAAAAATGGGAGCCAACCAGCTACCTGATTCTGAGCACCAAGCCGAGGGTGGAAGGCCGGAAGCATCGCACCTTTAGGTTCTTGTAGAGTCACTCTAGCGTTTTTCAAGGGCCCTCGGACCTTGTTTTTTTGGGCTTCTTCTGGAGTGAAGGAAGGCGTGTTCAGGGTTCCAGGGTTAGGGGTTCTGGCTTCAGGCGCCCTAGACCCTAAACCCTAAATCAAACCAGCGACCAGGTCAAACACCACATCCGGAGCCGGGCTATGGACACACGCTCTACCTCTGGGCGAAGCTGACGCGCTATCCCATGACCAACACCTCAAAGGTATTTTTAGTCGCTCGGTCTAGGGTTCAGCATCCATGGATTGTTGTTGCGTGCCGGTTGACCTAATCGATGCCGCCGCCACCACCACCGCCACCGAAAACGCCACCACCACCACCGCCGCCGCCACCGCCACCACCACCACCACCACCACCACCACCACCACCACCACCACCACCACCAGAAGCCGAAGCCGAAGCCGAAGCCGAAGCCGAAGCCGAAGCCGAAGCCGAAGCCGAAGCGGCAGCAGAGGCGGCAGCAGAAGCAGAAGCCACAGCGGCAGCGGCAGCGGCAGCGGC